ATATTTTAATCCATTTTGAATGGAATGTGACTAAAGAAAACCTTGGCAGTGACCATTTATTCATTAAATTCACTTTAAAATATAAGGATAATTTGAAACTAATTAGTCATCGTAATTTTAAGGCCGCTAATTGGCAAATTTATCGGGAGATAATAACAGAAAGATTTAGTGCTGATACAGCAATATATAGTGGTGAAAGTATACAAAGTCGTTATGATAAATTCATAGATGTAATTAACAAGGCTGCAGATAAATGTATTCCTATGACCAAAGTCCCTTTGTATGCAAGTCCATCTTTTACCCCAAAGCCTTATTGGAACCCGCTATTGTCGCATACTGTAGCAAAACGTCGATTGGCTTTAAAAAATTTTCGCCGTAATCCAACACCTAGCAACTTCGATAAACTAAAAGAACAAACAACAGAATCCCGTCGTGTTATACGCAGAGCCAAATTTAACAGCTGGACATCTTTTTGTAGTGATATTGATAAAACGACTAACGCTTCCGATATGTGGCGTAAAATGCGTTGGGTAAAAGGAATTCGCAGTAACTGTACACACCCCTCAAAAGATAGTTCACTTGAGTTATTACATTCACTAACACCTGACTTTGTAGAACAGTTACCACCTAAGTTCTATTCTAATAATAGTCGTCTAGAAGATGAGTTTTCGATAGTGGAATTAAATAACGCCCTAAAAAGAAAAGATACTGCTCCCGGAGAGGACTGTATTACATACTCCATGTTAGGTCAATTACCTTTAGTTGGCAAACTCTTCCTACTTAAAATATACAATCTTGTTTTTGAATTGTCTGCTATACCAGAACAATGGAGACATATAGAAATTTTACCTATTCCTAAGTTAAATAACAGCAACGCTAGTGTACAAAAGTTACGACCAATATCGTTGATATCTTGCATATGTAAAGTATTTCATACAATGATAAATAAAAGGCTTGAATGGTATATAGAACATCATAAAATACTGTCCATGAACTCTACTGGTTTTAGGAGGGGACTATCATGTTTGGACTGTGTAGCTCGTTTAGTGACGGACATTCAGATAGGATTTTCAAAGAGTTTGCCCACCCTAACTTGTTTTGTAGATATTGAAAGTGCTTATAATAATGTATCTGTGTTTGAATTAGTACGTACGTTGGATAATTTAAATGTAGGTTCTAGGTTGTGTAACTACATCTGGTCTTTTCTAAATAAGAGATACTTGAAGATAAAAAAAATTAATAGCTCCAATAAGCATGATAGATGGACAAATAAGGGATTGTGTCAAGGCGACCCAATGTCTCCACTTTTATTTAATATAATTACATCAAATTTATGCCAAAGTTTTGAAGAGGTTTCTGTGTTACAGTATGCGGATGATTTTGTTTTTTATACCCAGCACAAAAATATAAATAAATGTATCAGTAATATACAAAACTCGTTATCAATATTTAGCCAGCATACTAATAACATAGGGTTAGAAATTTCGGCTTCTAAAACTAAATCCTGTCTATTTAGTAGAGGTAGAAGAAATAATCAGATCCCACTTACAATTAGTAATGTTGAGTTGGAGCGGGTGGAAAATATCAGGTATCTGGGAATCTGGTTAGACAGATCCATACTGTGGGCTAAGCATATTAACGCAGTTAAAGAGAGATGTCTGAATTTAGTGAACTTGCTTAAAATTTTGTCAGGCAAATCATGGGGCGTGCATCCCAAGCATGTAAGAAGACTGTACTTGTCATTAGTTCGTAGTAGAATAGATTTTGGTTCCTATTTGTACAGTAATGCAGCTAAATCCCACTTAGTAAAATTAGATAGAGTACAAAATATTGCACTGCGGGTTATTGGGGGGTATATTAGAACTACGCCAATACACGTTATGGAAGCTGAATTAGCTATTCCACCCCTACACTTAAGAAGAAAATATTTAGCTACAAAATATTGCTTAAAGGTTATCGGCACTACTAATCATACAGTAACTCAAGGAATTAAAATATTGGATCAGCAATGTGAAACTAGGTATTGGAATAACAAAATAAAACCTTTATTGGCATCAGCGTATAGCGACATTAAAATTGAGACAAAAATCAATACAAAAAAAAATGTGCTCATGTATTCTTTTAACACGTGGATGTCTTATATTAACAAAGACGTTATAAGAATTGACATAGTAGACATGCCTCTGCAGAAAAAATATTATAACGACACAAGCATCCTTAAATTTAATATTTTAAATTACTTAAGCAGTGAGTATGAGGGATGGCACACTGTCTTTACGGATGGTTCGAAGTCAGAGCATGGTACTGGGGCAGCCTTTTATGACCCAAGATATAATATAAAAGAAAAATATAAGCTGTTGACTGGCAATAATAATAACCTGTCCATAATGTATGTGGAATTATTTGCAGTGTCAGAGGCCATCTCATATGCAGAGTCTAAGGGATTCAGAAAGACGGTGATATTAACTGACTGTAAAAGTGCTTTGCAGCATCTGGCTCGATGCGCCTCTGACGGCAGAGGTGCCTCGATAGCCTATGCTATTCTTAAAAAGGTTCAAAATTTAACAACTAGAGGTATAACTTTGAGGCTGCAGTGGATTCCAGCTCACATTGGTATAAAAGGCAATGAAAATGTAGATAGGATGGCTAAAGAAGCTATATCAGATGGTATAGATACATTTGTTTTTTCGGAATTTAGTGATATCTTGTTAAAGTACAAACTATTGATATATAATAATTGGGAAAATGAATTCAAAAAAAATTCAATTAACAAAGGGATATGGTATAAAATTGTGCAGGATAAGCCTTTTAAACTGCCATGGTTTGCCCATGACGTATTGTGTAGAAAGTTGATTGTTATAGCTTGTAGATTGAGGTCTGGTCATATACCACTAAATTATTTTAAATTCTTAGTTAAGAAATCAGATTCACCAAATTGTTCATTGTGTAATGTTGTCGAAGATATTCATCACTTTCTAGTGGAATGCGTTCGGACCAACGATCTTAGAGTCTACCTAAGAGCAAAACTTAATATTAAGGTATATGATGTCGGAGTATTTTTGAGTATTTTATCTGCACCTATGTCAAACGCAGCTATTGTATTATATAAATTTATAGATAAGTTAAATAATTCAGATAATTAGTTTCATAAGGCATTTAAGCTTGTTTGTATTATTATTTTTGTATTGTTTGTATTATTATTATTATGCATAAGGTGTTTATGGGACTGGCATAGTCAATTATGGCTCAAAGTCCCTCAAGTATAATTAAAGAATTAAAAAAAAAAAAAAAAAAAAAAACTTTTTTTTTAACTTTGACAGCCAATCCCATGAAATAATGATAATAAGCATTTTCGATGAGTGGATAAATATGTTATATCAATTAAAGGACCACTTCATATTTGAAAGACACGTATCGGGCAAAACTATTTAGTGTATATAACAGAGAACTTTATCAAATTTTCTGATACTACCTAGTTCAATATACAGGGACAATTGGAGTGTAAGGGACATCGTTACGAATACTAAAATAGTGTATTCAGACCATCATTTTGAGTCTATAATCATTGGAATTTTCTGCCGGAAAATTAGACTTTTTATGCAATCAGCTGTCAAAGGTAAAGGTCATCCGTAGGTAACGCACAAAAGTAATAACTACATGTGTATTCCATGTAAACAGTCTACGCATAATAACACAAGTTGGCGGCCGGACGCCCCGCGCGCTTCGGCTGTTTGATTAATTAGATTGCAATTTTTGACCGTATGTGGTATTTAATCAACTATTTTATAAAATAATATGTTCTGTTTACTCATTGTGATATCATTTTTAACAAAAAAAATGGATAATTATAAAAAATATGATGAATTTTCTAATGATTTTCGACTCAGAATCATGGTCTGAATACACTATTTTAGTAATCGTTACGACGTCCCTTACATCCTGTATACTACATACTACTATACTATGGTATACTATATACTTTATATATATTATACAATCATACTATTATATATTTTATCCATCCTTTTAAATAAATATTTTGAAATTGAAAAACTATGTTGTAATCAGATGTCAGATAAGAATATTTGAATAAGAGAAAATACGGGTGCATTCTCTTTCTATTTCCTTTCGTCTCGATATTGAATTCTTGGAGTTAAAACTTTGAGATATTCCCGTTGTAGGAATTCTTTGAAACATAAAGTTGTACAGCTTTGGTTATATACAATGTAATAAATGGGTTCAAGCAAAAGTGTTTACAAGAAACATATTTAAACGCTTGCTGGAGACTTTAAAAGCAGTAAAAACTATATGTGTAATAAAAAATATTGGATACATGAAACGACAGCTATTGGCTTTGTGTTTCATGTATCCAATAGCTTTTGGCTTAGGATTGACCTCCAAAGAGCCATTTTTTAAAATTATATAGCGATAACGTCAATGTCCCATCGCTGAAACTCAATTACATGTAAAACCCGCACACACAAAGATTTCTGTTTCGGTGAGGCGATGTTGAGGAGCCTGTATATATCTGGTCTCAAAATGTGGTTTAAATGTATTTCTGGTGTGTAAGCTTTGGACGGATTAACACACATAAATGCGCATGGTCTCTTTCTTATAGGGTTAAAGTTTTACTAATTATACATTGATCACGGATAGTACATCCTGATCTAAACATCGGGCAGTCTAAGGATAATACCTATTAATCGCGTCAGTTCCCATTTATTAGTAAAAAATATATTTTAAACTAATTCCATCCTTTGTATTCTAATATCTTTGTAATATAAATAAGTTGCTTGTTTTATAAGACATAAACTATTCCTATTCTGAACTACCCTTTTTTTTTTCCTATCGGTGGCATGTCGGACTCCAACCGACTATAACCGCACGCGCCGTCTGGTTTAATAATAGCCGGGGAACCAGGTATACCCTAGAAAGGAAGTCAAATTCTGAACTACCCTAAAAAGATGAACGTAATCAAAAAAGAAGAAAAAATTACTCACCAAGTTCAACAGATAGACATTTGTGACTGTCCTCATTCGTCTGTTGCTCGCGAGTGTTGCAATCACCAAACAGTTTCCGGTGATAGATAGCAAGAAAATTAAAAAGTAAGGAGGTAGTATGAAACGCCATTCGTATGCGGTACTAGCAACTTTGCCTGCAACACTCGTGTTGCGGACAGCAACAAAAGTGGCTGAAGTAGTTAAAGTCTCTCTCATTTGAAGTAGTGAAGAGTTCAGTATGGCACTTATTTCTTCCATTTTGATACCTGAAAGTAAAATAAAAATCTTATTTATTTTTAATACATAAAAGAAGAAATTTTCCATTAAATTTAGATTACGTCCGGATTAAGTTAGCCAAGTCAAAAATATTGTTTAACAAGATTTGGCTCACGTTTTCGCTAGCGTTAAAATTGTCTTTGGCAGTAACTTTTTGTATTAAATCATTATATTTTGTTTCACTCATGTGTAAGCCAGCTCTTTTGATTTTATAAAAAACTGGTAATACGATAACTGTCTGTCACTGCTTTCTATTTTTTTGCTATAAATTGACATATTGCGTTGTAACATTAAAATTTCTGAAATATATAATTCTAGATCAAGATATGTGAAGTATTATTTCCATTCCCGTCGCCTAAAATAACATGTGTTTTTATGAAATAAATATTGCATATTTTAAAAACTCAAAACGCTCACAGTCAAGTCATTTTGGCACACCGAATTATAATATTTCATTGTCATTGTGAACTTGGTTACGGCGTCTTGTTGATACTTGTATTGTTTGTATCGATCAAAGTTTTTGATGCTGTGATTGAATCTTTCTGGTAGTTAATAATAATAATAATGTTCTACCACAATCACACAACGCCATCTAGTCCCAAACTAAGCAGAGCTTGTATTGTGCGTACTAGACAGTTGATATCAATACGTATTATATAACTTTTTTTGTAAATACATACATATTATACATAAAAACACCCAGACAAAATCAAATATTACATGTTCATGCACGCAAATGTTTGAGATGAGCGGGAATAGAACCCGCGATCTTTTGGAATAGCAGTCCCTTACACAAACCACTACGCCATCCGGTCGTCAAGTTAATAATTAATTTATTTCGTCTATGATAACCATTGCCAGTATTGAGATAGTAACTCTTATTTCGTAGCGTATAGTGATGTTCATAGTGCCTAAAAAGTTATTATATTTTAATACATCGAAAATGCGGTTAAACAGTGACAAAGTCTTGTTAGTAGTGAATAGTTAAAGAAAAACTAGAATCTTGAGAGAAAATTCGTTTTGACGGTACGGTAGCTCCTTTAATATTGATCCATTTTGTGGTTCCAGCTTGTTTGAGTAACAAATAATCTTTCAGATCTTCGTATTTATAATATCAATACAGTCTATTTGTACAACTGTTTGGGTAACACAAAATAAATACTTGGATAATTAGGTAAACATGTAACTAGATCGAGTTTACAATATTTGAAACTAAATTAATTAATTTATGAACGAAAGAATGAGTATATTAATCGCAATTGTGGCTTTTTTCTTCAATTTTATTTTTTTGGGAAATAAAGCGTAATAAATATCGTACTACACAATGTTCATTTCTGCTATTCCGGTTATTTTTAATACTTGTACGCTTCTTCATTTTCCTGTATTCAATCTGTGGGTAGATTACTTTTATAATATAGGACGACAAAAGATATTCGAGAGGAACCTTCCTTTTATTCCAGTAGTATTATTAAAACCATTATAAAATTTCATCGCGCCAAAATTACGTCAAAATCCGAAACAAAATCCAATACTTGATAATAAAATTTTAAAACGAGACATCATAACTATTTTGATAAGTTGATAAAAATTTAATGAGTAATTCATTAGCATTTCTGTGTTTGCCAACTGATGGTCAATAGTCTACAGTATTTTTTTTTAAGATAAGTCATAATTTATTTAAATATTTCATACAACTCATATCAATTTTTTTTTAAATACTAAAAGTTCGTCGGCGATGGCATGAAAAATGTTTTTAACCGATGTTATTAAAACTTGCCAATAGCTCTAAAATAAATAAGATATATACTTTTGACTTTATAATACTAATATCTTTACACACCCCACACACGGCCGTCTGATCCCAAACTAGGCAGAGCCTGTACTATGGCAAGCAGACTGCTGATATAAATACTTATATATTTCTAAATAGATACATATTATAAAAACGTGTGTATATAGTGTCGAAAAAAAGTCTTGTACACACATATTTCGGTCTCGCTCCCATTCGCTTAGGGCGTGTAACGCACGATAAGCCACTTCGTTCCATAAGTTTTACAATTGACGGCCTTATGGCGTATATTGCTTGTTACATGTTCCCATTTAGTTAGTATACGTATATAATATATTGGAAATATATATATGAAGGTTTCAGACCTATTTCTTAGCGTTCCATGGATTCACCGTCCATGTGCCGGCTCCATCGGTTGCAACACATGCGACTTTGATAGCGCCTCGGAATTGCGACCCACCGTTCAATAAATTACCGACCCGTTCAATAAATTACTTTTTAAGTAATTTATTGAACGGAGGATATTGAAAAGAAGGATTAGAGTTCCTTCAATTAAATACTGAATATCATCAGATAATCTGTTCTTTAAAGTGATAGGGAATTAAATAACTTGCTTTGACATATAATTAATAGTTCGGTCTATTCGTATATATAATGTATTTATAAATAGAAAAAGCGAACACCCTTAGGTACAGCTTGTAAATTTTAAACAATACAAAATTATTATTTTTTGTTTTCAAAATAATCTCCATCACTCTCTATTCAAATTTCCATCCGTCTAAATCAGTATTGGTCCAAAAAACTTGCCTTTTATCTTATCTTTTATGGTGGGCAACATAACTACGATCTAAACTATAACTATTAGGCTTCTAATAATTTTATAGTGTTAATGAATTTACACGTTCGTAGGTTGTTTAGTAGAGATGACTGTCATCGATAACACTACGTATTATAATTTCAAAATAATATTCTTTTTAAATGTATTAATGGCGTTCTGTTCATCTAGTTTATATTACAAAATTAACACACAGACGAAACAAAGATTTGGTAAATTAGCAAGGTATTCTTTATTAACCTTTAGGCATGGCAAGTTAAAAAGTAATTAAAAAAAGAGGTTTTTAAAGAAAGAAGAATACATATAAAAGAATTGTATCACAAAAAGGTTTAGTTTACTAATTAGATTTATTTTACTAATTGTTGAAGAGTGTTATTGCAATAAATTACTTACTATGTTCTTTTGTCGAAACACCAATATACACATTGTGAAGGATATACAACAACCAACGATGTGAAAATTCTTTTCTTCCCCCCCCCCCCCCCCCCCCCCTCGGATTAACCTCACCATTAACCTTTTGAATCATCCAAAACTACTACATAATGGAAAAAAAAGAGTAAACAAAATATCCAGTAAAAGAAAGTTCCGACGAAGCGTCTGTTTTATGATCTTTTAACAAGTCGAAGAATACTTTTTAGGAGGTTAGAGTAGTGTACTCAAGTATTTGGCAATAAACTTTAACTTCGAGGAAACAAAAGTCAGACCCTGACCCTGGGTCGGGACCCTGAAAGTTTGAAATTGTGTTACGATTCATACACGTAACGAAATAATGCATTTATTTCTATTCCAATAAAAACGAATTCTTTAAAATCGTCTAAGTTGTAAACAACGTCCCAGCCTGTTGAAACTGGGTTATATGTTCTAGTTAATGCTTTCAGTACTAAAAGTGTCACTTGAGGTGAGGAATAGCACAAGATAAGACTAGTATTGTTGTGTTACTACGGTCTTTTACAGAATTAAAATACTAGACCACAGACTGCTGGTAATTGATCAGAAATGAGATGGAGTCCAAAAATCCCCTGGGATAGGGCCTGGTTAGGCGTGGTGTCGATTCGGGGAGGAACTGAAATCGCATGAAGAGTAAGGATCCTGAGGCCGGCCGTTGTGGTGGTTATTAGTGGAATCACCACATACTCCTGGCTCTAGAGCAGGAAATCCGAAGGTATTTTCCTTCAGTTGCTTTTCCTTCTTTTTATTTACTTTTTCTATATAATATACTCCATTTTTTTTTATCTTATCCTTAAAGTACCCGAGCAATTGGTTTGCTCCCTATTCCCTTAATGCCTCTTCCTAGCCCATAGAGAATATTTGGATATTTTAATCTATGTTGGTAGAAGAATAAAGATATAGAAATTTAGAAGAATAAAGAAGAATGCCTTATCCTTATTTTACAGGTCTGTTCTTTTGGTTTGCACCGATAGCACTGCTAATTGTCCGTGTGGTGACGAATTAAGAATACGAAGTGTCACCACCCCTATTTATTCCATACGTGTCATAAGAATCGACTAAGGAATTCTGCCTTAGTCGACTACGCAGGACAACAGTACGTGAGTAAACAGAAACAGACAGACAGAAGTGACAGAAAGCCTATACCAACCCTTCTGGTCAGCGTGGCATGGTAGGCCAAACCTCCTTTGTAAGGAGAGGCCTATGTTCAGCAGTGGACTGTTAAAGGCTGTTAATGATAGCACTGCTAACCTGATATTAAATAATAAGCCTGAAAATCTACATATCAAAAATTTAATAAAATCTTAAGGAAGTTCCGTCTAAGAGATATAATTTTGTTGACTGAATTAATCAGTTCTCTGGACTCTTTACCCGTAAACCCGTCGCCTATGGACGCATTCTACTCAAAAGACTAAAGTGCGTCTCGCCCTTTGAGTGCGTTGTGCACCAGTCGGGGGTTAGTTGGAGGGTAATGCAATGAAAGATCGTTTAGCATCGGTTTTTTGGGAAGCCATTGTATCTCTCCGGCCAAGCCTAAGCGAGTAACACCTATGTTTCAGTCGTGCTCACAGGCGACTTTGAGACATGCTGTGAACACGGTCAGTGCCAACTGGTTTAATCGTCAGGCATTTTAAAGGTTTATAATACCTTTTACATGACTGCCGTAAACCCATAAATAAACATTATAATATATTATTGAACGCGTATACTTAATATTTAAATTTCGCAACTATATAAATTGTATAAGTAAGTTTCTTATTGTACCTAATCGGAAGATTTTTATTTATTGTAGCTTTGAAAGTGGAAGGTTGCTGGTACTTTTAGCACAAGATATCTTATTTTAAGTAGCAGCAGAACACTAAAATTAAAATATTCTGTAGCTGTATTAAAATTTCTACTACCATGTACCTA